GCAGAAGAGTCACTAGAGAGAAAAAATGGCATTTATTTCTTACTAGTGACTGTGGTAAATGTTTCTAGCAGTTCAAACTGGGAAATTCTCTATATGCCACATGCAAATTATTTGCTGGAGACACAAGTCAGAAAAGGAGATTAATACCTTTAAGACTTGTTTGTTCAGGATGAAGTTTCAGTTTGTGTACATCTGTGCTAAATTAGTTTTCTAAGTCCCTCTTTATCAGGGAGAGCATTGCCAAAACCCAACTTCCCTGCGTTTTAGCTTTCCATTAACATTCAGCCATGATTTTAACTAAGTGGGGAGGGGTCATGACTACCCAGCAGTGTGTTAGCAGGAGACTGAAGTCTCCAATTTACAATCTGCTACATCTGTGCAATTACCAAGACCACCAGCAGTGAGAAAAAATATTAATCCCTAGTCTTTGTTGGTCCCCGTTTAAAATGATCACATGTCTAAGCTTTAAAGGGATTCATTTGTGAACTCTGAAAATAATGGTACATGCTGAGGTATCATGTATCATCCTTAATTTATTTTCCCTCTACAGTTCTAGGCCTTATGAGATGTAGGCACCTCTTCCCTGTATGATTATATGCACCCAGCCATCAAAGAAAGTTGCAGTAAGCAGTTGGGGTGAGATATCCTTCTGCAGTACAGTGGCAGACCTTAACTATGAGAGTGGCACTCTCCACAGGCCATATTTTTGGGTATATTGATGTAAGGCTGACAGGCAGAACTGAAGTTAGGACCTCTAGAGTTTAGTGCGAGGGCTGCTACAGCTTGAGCTATGAAGCCAGCTGGCTCTCAGCTACAGCTGTAGAGCAGGGGTGGGCAATAATTTTTGACCGGGGGCCACATCAGAAATTTTTGAAGTGTCCCAGGGGTGCCCTAGAAAGGGCAGGGCCTCAGGAGGAAGCGGAGGGGCCAGGACACTTTGATGCTTCCCTGCCCACAGACCCTGACCCTGAATGGTCTCCGGGTGGGGGAGTGTGCAAAGCCTTTGCTCCCTCCTCTTTCCCCTCCCAAGAGAACCACCAGCTGTTCTGAACAGTTAGCGGTTCCCTCTAGGTGCTCATGCTGCTGGGGGTGGAAGTAGACTTTGCATGCTCCCCCTCCTGCCCCCACCCTGGGGTCCGGGGGAAGCATGCAAAGTCTGTCCCCACCCTGCAAGGGAGCATCTCACTTAGAGTTACCCACTAGCTGAGCAGCAGCTAGTGGTTGACTCTAAGTGCTGAGCCCCTTGAGGGTGGGAGGAGACTTTGCAGGCTTCCTCCCACCCCCAGGTCCTGATTGGCCTGGGGGTGGGGGTAGCGTGAAGTCTCTCACTCCCTGCTCTCTGGCATGCGATGCTTAGAGTCAACTGCCAGGGTTGACTCTAAGGGTATGTCTACACTACCACCCTAGTTCGAACTAGGGTGGTAATGTAGTCAACCGGAGTTGCAAATGAAGCCCAGGATTTGAATTTCCCGGGCTTCATTTGCATATTGCCGGCCGCCGCCATTTTTAAATGTCCGCTAGTTCGGACTCCGTGCCCCGCGGCTACACGCGGCACGAACTAGGTAGTTCGGATTAGGCTTCCTATTCCGAACTACCGTTACTCCTCGTTTCATCAAAGAACTCCACGAGGAGTAACGGTCATTTAAAAATGTCGGCGCCTGGCAATATGCAAATGAAGCCCGGGAAATTCAAATCCCGGGCTTCATTTGCAACTCTGGTTGACTACATTACCACCCTAGTTCGAACTAGGGTGGTAGTGTAGACATACCCTAAGTGCTGTGTGTACCCTGATTGGTCTGGGGGAGGGAAGTAGCAGGATCTTTGTAGGCCGAATCAACCTGCTTGGCAGGACAGATCTGGCCTGCGGAAGCCCTTTTGCCTACCCCTGCTGTAAACAAACTTATTCGCTCTCTGTAAGTGCTCTAAGTGACACTACATGGGACAGTGCACCGCATGTAGCAAGTGTCTGGGTTACATCGACAGCACCAGTGGCACAGCTATCTATACCTTTACCACTGTAGCATTTCCTCGATAGATAAAAAGGTTTTTCTATTAGTGTACGTAAGCCACTTCCCTGAGCAGCAGTAGCTACCCTAGTGGTTAGGTTGGCTTAACTATAGCGAGATCAGTCTAAATTGTACATGAGGAACAGGGCTTTGTGTGTAGTGGAAATAGATTCCTGAGTGCCCTCAAAACCCACAATGGATTCCTAAACCGCCCATTCACAGATAAATGAGCCTACACAGAGACAAACTGAAATGGTAGTGGCAGGGAGAAGAGATGCTCCAAACTACAATTAGAAAGCACAAGTGTCCTTTCCATGATACAAATGCTGCAGGAGTGATGCTCAGGTATTCTTCTTTGGTCTTCGTGCAAATATATTTCCTGGCTCCCAGACTGCATGTAAAGATAGTCCAAAATCTAGATAAGCCACCATCTGCAGAGCATTTGGATTCCATAGGGATTACAAATGACTCTGGAACATGTCAGATGCAAGACCCTAGACAACCTCAGTCAAGCCCATAGGGAATTTGAAACTAATATTCTTTTGTAAAAAATATCTGTGGCTTGTAAACTTTCCATGGCAGGTCTTTCTCCAAGAAGTATGGAAGTATATGTGCCTCCTTCCAGCATTTTATTTCTTTTTACTTCCCTTTGATAAAGCCTGCATAGCTATCGTTTCAGTGACTTTAGGTCAACTTTTGTTTTTCAAGCCATGGTACTCAAGAGTTCAAGCCATGATAGAGTTTCATCTCCTCTTAGCCTAATTGCAATACTTTTCCAGTTTATTAGTTTCCAAATGTTGTGCCAAGTTTCTAAAAAGGTAGGCAGGGGAGAATTCTCTTCTGCATGGAGTTGGCTGGCTGCCATGCTGTGAAGAATATTGCTAGCTGTTTCAGAAAGGGATTAGCATGAAGGCATTTTCCCTGACAGTTAAACTTATATATCACAATGCTGCTGACTGGAACAGAAAGGGGAGTGCGGGAGGAAAAAAAACACCTCATTTTATTACTCAGGTATAAAAACATTGAAAGTAATGAATAAAATCCTAAAGCTGTAAATTTGAAACTCCAAAACTAGGTGTGTAACGTGACGTAACAATTTAAGCCTTTGCCTCTTTTGGAGAGGTGAGACATTTGGACTTCATTTCACAGCCTGATTTTCATTAAATTGCCTTTTAAGAGTTGGGATTACAAGAAGCCAGGTCCTCTGGTTCATAACTATGATTTATGACAACATTGTCAAATCCACAACGCTCCCCCTCCAGGTGGTACAAGAAATACATAATTTGCTGCTTAATAACAGCAAGGACCATTAGAACTCCCAGGAAAGTCCCTGTATTTATGGAAGCTTTCTAGGATTTAAATTGAGTCTGGCCACTGCAAATTTTGGGCCATATTCTGAATACTTTGAGGATCTTAGAATCTGATTCTGTGTGTTCATTTTTTAAAGTTATGATTGATAACAAAAATGTTATTATTTTTGCTATATGGAATTTAATATAGTGACTGGCCCTATCAAGGAACCTTGATTCTTTCATCTCCAATATTAGGGGTATGAATTGAATTTTAATTTCAGTTTGGGGGAGCTGCAGCATTTGAAGTCAATGCAGTTATTCTAGCTTTACACCAACATACCCGAGAGCAGAAATTGATCAAATGAATTTAGCTTGGCCTTGGAATTTTTCCTTATATTTAAAAGAAAAATGTTGGTCTTGATTTCTGGAAAGTATAAGGAAAAATGGGAAGTTTAGGAAAGAGAATTCCAAATGGTGAGATCTTGTAGTTCCAGCTTGTCATGGTGGAAGCTCTGTGACTTGAGATGTTTAGAACAAGAAAAAGCAAATCAGTGTAAATTATACAAAATATAATTAGAGAATAATTTGCACTAGCCTGGGGAAGAACAGAACAACCTGGCAGGTGTTTTTCATCTTGGATATCTATGATTCCATGACCATCCCTCAAGTACAAAGGTTTCTTTAGAACTTAAGGTATCCCTGGTTTGACCAACTTCTGCTTCATCCATGTGTGACAAAAACTAAATGGACATTTCTGGAAAGGAGAGTATATACAGGTCTGCTGTTTGCTTTCCTGTTGTGGACAGGCTGCCTGCTTTCTGCATCAACAACACAGAGAAAAGAGTAGGGAATGCTTTCATATCCCAGCATCACACACACGTACATGCAGCAAAAGGGTGAAAATGTTGTAATCCAATGGGGTTTTGGTATGGTACGAGCAGTAGCATTCCTAGGGCTCTCTGTCTTGCTCACTGATTCAGGCCAAGTGAGAACTTCATACGAAGTATTCACCTTTTGGAATCATTTGCTATTATTTTGGACCACAACTGCATTGTGTATCTTGCTATGTCCATGTAGCAAGTGTCTAGTCACTGATACATTGATGCCAAATCATTTAGGTCTGCCTGACTGCCTTTGTTGACTCAGTAATATCAGATATCTAGAATTTACATGCAAAAGAGGTTAGATCCATTTCTTCATGTCTCTGGACATGTCATTGTTACCTGCAGGCTAACAGAGGGGGAGAGAGAGAGACTGGGTAAATGCCATTTTACAATGCTCTCTTCGATAAACCAAAGTATTTTTTGCCCCATCTTGCATTCTGAGGTAGAATCATAATTCTGAGATATAATGAAATCTAATAGCTTTCTGATGGGCAAATGTTCTTGGAATTCCATCAATATTTATTTAACTTGAGTTTGCTTTTAAGAAGGATTCGCGGATAAATATGTATTTTCAGAAACATGCTTGTCGTCTGTGTATGAAACAAAAATTCTCTGACTAGAAGTGCTAATATGCATCTGGCCTGAAGCCTGCAGTAATTAATGGACCTCTGAAATACTTGAATGCAGGACCATGTGTAGTTTCTTAACAAATGCTCATTTATTCTGAGATTTTGTTGTGTAGTTGCATTTTTACCTCATATGACCTCTTACTGCAACATATGTTTTTTATTTATCATTGTTTTAAATCCCTCCCTCAGATCATAATAGGAGAATTTTACCGGATTCACTACTTAAAGGAGAAGTCTCGGTCCTTCATCCAGAACCCATACGTGGCAGCTCTCTACAAACAAGTAGGCTGTTTTGCCTTTGGCTGTGCCATCAGCCAGTCCTTCACAGACATTGCCAAAGTGTCCGTCGGGCGCTTGAGACCTCATTTCCTGAACGTTTGTGATCCAGACTTTTCAGTACTCAACTGCTCTAAAGGCTACATTCAAAACTACACCTGTAGGGGAAATGACAGTAAAGTTCAGGAAGCCAGGTGAGAGGTGTTTCTTTGACAATATGGCTGGGGAGGAAGGTTGTGTCTACCAAAATAGTGTCTCACAAAATACTCCGTCTGCTGGCAGTGGATCATTTGGAAACTTCCTTCTCTGGGAAGACTGTCACTGAGTTACCCTTAACTGGCAGTTTCCCTATGGAGTTATTGAACTCTGCTGAGTAATACTTCTCCTTCTTTCTGCTAACTCCTACACCATTGTTTCATGAGTGGTTACTCAATGTGGGAATGTACCATCAGAGCTGACTTCACTGGTAAGTGATTTGGATCTGCAGGGCAATACATCCTTTCCTTTGTGTGAAGAAAACAGCCACCAGTGCCAGGAACTCTTTTTTAAAGTCTTCATGTTTAATGTTGATAATTTATCCTGGGTGAACTTTAGACTTAATGCATCTGGATTGGCATTTATCTTTATTTCTGTTGAAATTCCCCACTATTAGGAGTTAGTCTGTAAGTTTCCCGTCTGCTGAGTGTGTAACAGTTCATAGCTGTGAGCCTCCAAAAACAGGCCGGGAAAGGAAAGCAGCCCCATGATTTTTCACCTTTTGATCCATTGAAGAAATAATTTGCTGCTGGTCTGCTTGTCATATCACCATGCCTAGCTGTAGGGTTGGGATGGGGGAGGAGCCAGTGCTTGGTACAAACTCTTCCCTCAATTCACTCTCCACAGGCTGGGTATAGGGGAGCAGCAGCCCCAAAAAGGTTGCTTCCCCACCCACAATGCAGCCAGACCACACAGAAAAATAAGGGTGTACCTTGCATCTCTTAAGTCCTCTGTTGTCAGAGGCAGGTCATAGTCCTGCTTCTTGAATATTCATAGGCAGGTTCAATCTTAATATTACAATGGCTGGTTTATACTCATTCTTTGTCTTACAGGAAATCCTTCTTCTCTGGTCACGCCTCCTTCTCGCTCTACACCATGCTTTATTTGGTGGTGAGTACTATCAATTTTTTGCTAGTCTAACCTGTTTCCAAACTGCGGTGTCCCCACATGGGACGCTCACCCCCACTTGTAGCGATTTGGCAGCTGATTACATTACTCTGATTACATCAGGAGACTGCCTAGACTGAATCAAAAACTGCCATTAAAAACTCAAAAATACTTGAACTTTATAGCAATGTTTGGTTTTGTGATTCCTGACATTGCTGTCTGGCTGCACCAGGATTGTTACCAAGGGTATGTCTGTAGTACCAAGTTTTGCAAAGGTCGATTAAACAAAAATCGCCAGAGGGTATTTACGCTTGCTCCCACTGTTAACAGATCATGTCCACTCTGGGAGCACTATCAGTGACCATGTGAGTGACCTGTTGTGGGAAGGAAGAGCTGATTCCTGCACATCTTGGGATTCACCCTGTTCTCCCACAGCTTCCTCAGCAGCCAGAAGCAGCATCATGAGTAGCTCCATGAGCTCTCCTTGCTGAGGAGTGTCCAAGCAGCACAACAGCTTTTCCTCTTCCCCCGCAGCAGTAGTCTGCCTGCTGCTGTGTTCCTAATGCAGAGCAGAACAGGAGCAGTCCAATGGTTTGCTTCTTGTTTGTTCCCCAAATGTAGCAGCTCACTCAGCTGTCAGATACCTCCTGGAGCTTTGGCAGGGGAGAGGTGCACGCCTGGAGGAAAGCAGAGACTGAAGCTGAGCACAACTATGAGGCATTGTGGGATACTAGCAGAAGCCAGTTCTGTCAACAAAGCAAACAGCAGAGTCTGTTCTGGCTCTTTGTGGGCCTTAAAGGGTTCAGAAAAGAAAAAAGTGTATCGAAGGGCTGGAATTTTTTGTTGCATTGCAGTGTGTATGTTCTTGCTGTTTTGTCACCAAAGGCAGGTTTTGGCAACAAAACCTCGTAGTGTAGACAAAGCCCAAAAGTCTCCAGGTGAATCCTGCATTCCTTGCTCGAACTCCCACTGACCTTAACAAGAGTTTGGGGTGAGCCAAACAAGGAAGCTGAATTGCCAAAGATCAATGCACAGGGGCTTTATTTAGGCTTGTATTAGGCAGCATGCTCTGTTCTCTGCAATTGATGAATAAAGAACCCTAACTAGTTACTTCTATAGGCTAAACTCTGGTTTCCATCTCACATTTGGGGCCAAATCTGAAAGCAAAGCAGGTGAGCTGGCATGCCCACACAGTCTGATCCAAAACTGTGGGCTGGTCTGTTTTTCTTTGCCAATGAAAAATGGTTCTGCCCTTCCTCTACTCCGCCCCTGAATAAAGCACTGTGCCAAGGTGCTTCCTGCCTTTAGCACTCATGAAACAACCCAGTACAGGTCAGTTCTGGGAGGAACTACAGTCATGTTTTTTGGAAAGGGGATTTGGACAGTGATTTGTGTAAAAAATAATTAGGAAAAAGGTTTTTGGAAACTTTCAAAGATTTGCGGCCCCCATATCTCCTGTAACCTTAGATTGGAAACCAAAGAAACAGCCCTGCACTTATGAAAACATTAAACATGAACATTTATTTGTCTATGAACTGCATCTCTCCCCCACCCTCAACCCCTTTGCTTTGCCATCTGAAAAGAGAAATTACCACTACTCGCTCCTGGTTTTTAATCTCTGGGTTTTAACCCCTCCTATATTGGAAGCAGATTCTGTAACGTAATTACTGGGGGTTTAGACAGTGTTTGGTGGGAGGTTTTTTTTTTAAATGGGGGGTTTCTATTAATTTATTTCCTCATTTTCTTTTTTCTTGACTTGAAACATTTCACTTTTATTCTGTAAACATTTACACCATTTCCTCTCAGTGACGTTAAAACAACGTTGTCAGTGAGCGGCTGAGGATATGCGATGCGAAAGAAATTGGACATTTCCTCCCTTTTCCTCTCCCCCAAAACGGGGGTTAATGTTATGTGTGTGTGTAAGAGAGGGAGAGCCTGAATGACTGTTTTGTTTTACCCATCAGCAAAAATCACTACTTCAGTTTTCCATGAAACAGTAACTCCCCCAACCTCCGCATTCCTTTCATGAGTGATTTCTATGTATATACCCCTGAATGCAGAACTTTAATTAAAGTTAACAGGTTAAAAGTTCCTTTGCAGTGTTGGGAGAGGGGGGGAATCATTCATAATGTCAAAGCCAATGCCGTGATGCTTCACAGAAATCTAAGCCCTTAATGGCTGATTTGCAAAACTTTCCAAACTGCGCTTGGAAGCCATTGCTTGCCATGAGTATTAAATAGGGTTCTGCAGGAAGTCAAATAGGTCATTTCTCAGATTTGGTTTTAGGAAACTATAAGGACTGGCAACTTTAATTAAACAGATGACTAGCTTTGGCAGAACAATAAGCAAGATTGGTGCTGTGTTTGATCCCATCGTTACATTCTTTGCTAGATTCTGCCACCGCCCTTTCAAGGCTTCTGCTGATCCTGCTACCACAAAGAAGTAATTTGCTCTCTTATGCCTGGTCTACACTAGGAGTTTAGATCACATTTAGCCATGTAAGGTCGATTTTCTAAACAACGAGCCCTCACTATCAAGTCTGTTTCATCAACTTTAAGGGCTGTTAAAGTGGATTTTAGTTCTCCTGTTTTCACGGGGAGTGATGCCAAATTCAACCTTGCATGGTTGACTTTACGGTAGTGTAGACGTAGCATTGGGAAGTCGATGTTCTTGGCCTCTGGGAGGCATCCCACAGTGCCCTGCTCTCAAAGTCAATGGCAGTCTCCCCACTACTTTGAACAACGTTGAATTCTTGCACATAGCGGGGACATGGACCTTCGACTTTTTTAAATCGGGTGGCAAGAAATCTACCTTAATAAATTCAACCTTAATTCATAGTATCTACATTGCCTTAGATCATCAGGCCTCTGTTTTGCTGCTTTCTTTATTAACATATACATGGACAAATCTGGAAGTGCTGACTCAGGCAAGTCCTCTCTTCCCCCCGGAGATGTGCCGGGTATCTTCAGTAAAAGCCAGGGATTCAGCTCAGCACCTCTCAGGATTTCTGCCCAGTTGGGTTCAATAGAAGTTGACTCAAGCTCTCTGGGTGTATCCCTCCTATGTTAAAAGCACTGGGTGGGTTGTTTTATTCTCACAGACATTCTTTTCTGTGAGGCTTACCCAGCAAGTTAGAAAGAAAAAAAGCAGTGGAGTGGGAACTCAGATACACAGGATGGGCCTGACCATGTAAATGCTCCATGCACTGGGTTCCCTGCAGAGGCCAGAGGCAGGCCTGAAGATGGCATCTTGCATAAGATGCTCCGACGAGCCTTTAGGAACAGTGCTTTGCCCCAGTGCCATATATTTTTCTCCTCGCTCCATAATAAGTTCACTTGTGGTTTTTAGCCACTTCCCTGTATTTGGGGTAGCGCACAGCTGAATAATCGCAGCCAGCAAGCTTTCTGCTAGACTCCTCTGGGGAGGGGATCTACCGGCAAATGCACTGGGGGCAGGGCAGGGAGAGACCTCGCCGGGTCCTGGGGGAGCCGACTCTGGGCCTCCAGAAGGAGTGGAGCCTCAGGCAGAAGGGTGCGACTGGGCTAGCCTCCCCCAGCCACCTTCAGCACCCCCAAGGCTGCAGGGAGTGCACTGCTGGGGGCTCCGGCAGCGATTTAAAGGGTCCAGGGCTTTGTACGCTGCTAAGAGTCCCAGGCAGAGTTCCCACTAAGGTGTGCGCCTGCATAGCCATGCACAAAAAATTCTTCTCCCGCCCACCTCCTCTGGAAGTGCTGACTCAGGCAAGTCCTCCCTCCCCTGGAGATGTGCTGGGTATCTTCAATAAAAGCCAGGGATTCAGCTCTGCACCTCTCAAGATTTCTGCCCAGTTGGGCTCCATAGAAGTTGACTCAAGCTCTCTGGGTTTATCCCTCCCACTCCGGTAGGCAGGGCCGGCTGAGACAACATGGGGAGGGAGCCACAGGGACGAAGGGGCTTGAGACTGGCCGTGGCTGCGTGGCGGGGGAGGGTGGTGTGCTCCAGTGTCTGAGGTTGCCACGTGGCAGGAGGAGCTAGGGCCTGTTTTGTCGGCTGGAGCTGGGAACGGGACCTGCTGCATAGTGGGAGGAGGGGGGACAGGGTGTCTGCTCCGGTAGCTGGGAATGGGACATGCTGCGTGGCGGGCGGGGGAGGAGGCTTTGCTCCGGCAGCCAGCAACGTGTGCGAGTTAATAACTTGGGTGCCACAGTAGCACACATCCAAACCAGCGCACAGGGCCTCAATATTAGTGCACAAGCCAAAACTCACTCTGCTCATGGTTGGAAAATCTTAGCGGGAACACTGGTCCTGAGCCCTTTTAAACTGCCAGGCACCGAGGCATTTGTCCCGTTTGCCCTCCTATTGGTGGCCCTGACTGGGGGACAGGGCCCCAGCTGCAGTACTTAATAGGCATCAGTGATACCTCAGAGGGAAAGCCAGATTGTGGCTATGGTGCACACCCACCGTAATCAAGCTCTGATTTCTCTTCCCCGTCTCTGCCCCTGCCCTTCCCATTTCCCTCATATGGAAGCACTTTGGCTGTCAGCGCTCTGCAGCGTCTGCCTCTCTCCCCCAACCCACCAGAGACTGAAAACAAAACATTGCAGAAGCTGGCTTTTGACCGGGACAGCGTATGTCCTCTAAGACTGCAGTCTGCAAGGCACCGACCTCTGCTCGTTGGCTGGGATATAACAAGCTGACCTGCGACACTGGATTGTTCCCTTTATCCCTCTGGAGAGAGGATTATGGGCCCAGAATTCACAGAAGTTTTTAAGGCTTGAAACGCCAAGCTAGGACTGGTAGCGGGAACAGTGAGGCCATAGGTTCAACTGTTGCACTCACAGAGCTGGGGCAAAAATGATACTGAAGAGTTTAACAGACATAGAAGAGAGCTAGGAAAAAAAGAAGCAGAGGTGGAGTTGTGTATAGTGTGTGTCTGATGTCAGGAAGTCAGTCCTTTTCTCTGTCATTCCACATCTTGGGTTTGTTTAGCTTAGAAAAGAGAAGATTGAGGGGGGACATGATAG